ATTTGGCCTACTCTGTCTACCCAATGGACACACTCACTGTTGAACCTAAGCAAAGCTTAGGTTTACAGACGGCACAGATTACTGGGTGCTCATTTTCCACCGAGTCTTAGTTTCTTCTCAACAACGGAACCTGCTGTAAAATCTACAGAATAATTAGAAACATAAAGTGGTTGGGAAAGTGCAACCTTGCTTTTGCGTAGGCTCATGTGTACGAAAAGTACTATATGGTACTATATTTGATGCAAATTTATTTTTGAGTCATTATTTGGAGTCATGATCACTGTTGAGGTGTAAGATCGAGATATGTAGGAAGTTTAAAAAAATTTTTACTAATGTGTACTAAATTTGGTACAATTTGAATTGCGGCTGGACAGATAGAGTTGGAATCCTGAAATTTGGATTTAGGATCACTGAGGGGGTGTAGGATTGGGGTATGTAGGAAGTTTAGGAAATTGGTACTACTGTGTACTAAATTTGGTACAATTGAGTTGGAATCCTGAATCTTGGATTTGGGATCACTGTTGGGGTATGTAGGAGGTTTTGGAAGTTCGTACTACTGTGTACTAAATTTGGTACAATTTGAATTGTCAGTGAACCGATATAGTTGGAATCCTAAAACTTGTATTATGGACCACTGTGCAGGTGTAGGATGGGGGTATGTAGGAAGTTTTGGAAATTGGTACTACTATGTACTAAATTTGGTACAATTTGAATTGTGGGTGGACCGATAGAGTTGGAATCATGAAACTTGGAATTAGGATCACTGTGGGGGTGTAGGATTGGGGTATGTAGGATTTTTTGGAATTTGGTACTACTGTGTACTAAATTTGGTACAATTTGAATTGTGGGTGAACCGATAGAGTTGGAATCATGCAATTTGGTACAAAATGGTACACAAATTTAACTTATGGTCGACATTAATGTAAAAAATAAAATAATATGTTAATACATGTTTAAATATATCCCGCATTCGCTAACGAAGTAGCGGGTATATGCTAGTGTTTTTATAAAAACAGATTCCTAACTTATCTCGCATCTTTAATTAAACATTTCCAAATGAATGACTCTGACAAAATATTAGTTCTCGGCGATTTTAATCTGCCGTCCGTAAAGTGGCTTTCATTGCCAGATTCTGAGGCTCTAACACCTTTGACATCTGATGCAAATGTAAACTTATATACCTTTGAAATTGTAAATCGTTTTAGCGACATAAATCTTTATCAAATAAATAGTGTATCAAATTGTTATGATCGAATTCTAGATCTAGCATTTGTGAATTATACACAATATTTTGAAATTATTAGAATACCTCCAGTATGTACTCCCGAAGATAACTACCATCCTACATTATGCATATCCATGATGCATAATAATTTAGCTACCAACAATTCTTTAATATCATTTAAATCTGTTCCTAATTATAATAAAACTGACTTCCGAAAGCTAAACGCACTTATCTCAAACGTAAATTGGAGCACATTATTTATTTGTAAGGGTCATATTGATCTAGAATTATCAGTATATAAATTTTATGATATCCTAAATAAATTTATTCTAGAATGTGTTCCCATTGTTAGAGTTAGAAACTCGGAACGATATCCATGGGTCACATCTGGGCTTTCAAGTATTAAAAATTATAAAAATAAACTTTTTAAAAAATATAAAAAATCAGGCTCCTCTATAGATTATGCTAAATATGCTGTCGCAAGGTCTAAATATACGTCAGAGTCCCGAAAACTTTACAATCTTTATTTAGACAAGATTAAACTTAATTTCAAATCCAATCCTAAATCTTTTTATGACTTTGTTAATATAAAAAGAAAAGCTACGTCAAAGCCCACCATCTTGAAATTCAATAATCAGACATTTGAGAAAAACTCTGAAATTTCAGAGTGCTTTGCAAATTTTTTCGCTACAACATATTCAAATTCACCCTGTCCAAATAAAGATACATATAGTTATAAATTATCGACGATAGATCAAATATCTATGCCTTTTTTACAAAGTCAATATGTTTCTAAAAATCTACGTAATTTAAGATCAATTAAAAGTACAGGTCCGGATGGCATTCCTAGCATAATTCTAAAGTACTGTTCAGATACATTAGCTATCCCTTTAACGCTATTGTTTAATTATTCCCTGAAATATAGTCATTTTCCGACCTTCTGGAAGAAATCCTATATAGTTCCTTTACACAAATCTGGTAGCTTAACTAATGTCTCGAATTATAGAGGAATTGCTAAATTAAGTGCAATTCCAAAATTATTCGAAAAACTGATTACTGATGTAATTTCTCATAAAGTTCAGCCAATCTTAAGCCCATATCAACATGGTTTTCGTAGTGGCCTCTCAACCATTACCAATCTTATTCAATTTTCCTCAACCGTCATAAAAGGTTTTATTCAGCGTAATCAAACCGACACGATTTACACTGACTTCAGTAAAGCTTTTGACAGGGTTAACCATGAACTTTTAATATATAAATTAAATCAAATTGGTTTCAGTATAAATTTAGTTAAATGGATATCATCTTATTTGAGAAATAGATCACAGGTAGTTTTGTTTGATGATTGTCTCTCCAAATCCATTAATGTTCCTTCCGGCGTTCCCCAAGGAAGTCATTTAGGTCCACTCCTCTTTCTTCTATTTATAAATGATTTACCAAATGCAATAATACACTCCAAATTGCTAATGTATGCTGACGATGTCAAGTTGTTTATCACCCATAACTCCATGAAGCAAGCTGATTTACTTCAAAATGATTTAAATAACCTTTTTCAATGGTGCGAATTAAACTGTATGGATTTAAACCTAAACAAATGTAAGCATATGTGTTTTTCCAGATCTTCTACTTTAACAAGGCAATACAATATTAATGGTACTGTTTTATCAACTGTTGATTCATTTGTTGATCTTGGTATTTTAATGGATCCAAAATTAAATTTTAATAATCATGTTATTTCTATGGTAAACAAAGCCCACGGTGTCTTAGGATTTATAAAACGATGGGCTAAAGAATTCTCTGATCCCTATATTACAAAACAACTTTTTACATCTCTTGTGCGACCCATATTAGAATATGGTTCTGTTGTATGGGATCCCCAATATACAATTTATTCCGATAAAATTGAATCAGTGCAGAAACAATTTCTAATTTTTGCGCTGAGAGGTTTACATTGGAATAGTGACTTTGTGTTGCCTTCTTACACTAGCAGGTTAAAATTAATTCGATTGCCAACATTAAAAAGTAGACGTATTATGTTGAACACTATGATAGTAATTAAAATACTAAGCGGTAATATACCCTCAGACTTCCTAATTTCATCCATTAGAATAAATGTTCCTTTTCGATCAAGTAGATATTATCAACCATTATACGTAGATTTTCATCGCACAAATTATTCTATGGGAGATCCACTTAGTAAAATGTGTATTGATTTCAATTCTGTGTATTCTAACGTAGACTTTTGCATGAATATAGACCTAATAAAATCTAATATAATCATATTTTTAAATGAATAATACAACTTAATAACAAACTGGCTGTTGAAGTAGATTTCTGTAGCTGGTTTTCTATCCCTTCTCATATTCCATCATAATGCGGATTATGATGCGTACGCGATCCCTACGAAAGGGGAGGTCGCCCCCTCGGTCGGCAGGGGTGGGAAAGTGAGGCGTGGGAACGTACGATAAAAAAAAAAAATTATTGATATTTTCTTTTTTTTCCAGTCCGGTGGTTCCTCTGCAATACTCATGGATTTGGCCAGCAATGAGAAACATGTTCATGCCGATTTCTATAATGATTTTGATGACCTTTTCGACGATGAGGATGATGATTTGTTTAGTCTTGATGTAAATGCTTGAAATAAATAAAAGATATACTCTATTTGTAAAAAAATAAAACAACATTGGGGTGTTTTCTATTTTTTCATTTATATTATTTTTCTTTCTTTTTTCTGGGGTTTTTTTGTCGTGTGATTTGTTTTTGTTTTTTTCTCTTTTTTATCGCTTATATTACACTGAATGCATTAGTTTGTTGTTGTTTTTGTTATTATTATTATTATTTTGCAGGCTAACTTGATTTGTGTTATGTTTGGGTTTTATTCTCTGTTTTTACAATTAATTATTATTTTCGTTTTATAGAAAAAAAACTGAAAACTACAATAATATTTATATTTAAAAAAAAATACAACTTAAGCAAGACTAGCACCTTTACAAATATAATAATAATAGTGAAAAGAAAATAATTATGAAGACACGGTTTTGATAAAACAAATTAATATATAACATAATTTTAAATTCATTACATTAATTGGGAGGAGGAGGGTATTGGGGGAGTAGACTTGTTGTTAATTACATACATAATTTTAATAAAGCATCTTTCCTTACGTTTTCATAATACAAACGACGACAAAAATAAACAAATTAATTCTATATTTGAAATAATAAAAAACGAACGTGTACGCACGAGGAGATTAAGTAAAAAAACAACTTATTTAAAAATAAATACAATATTGCAATTAAATTGTTTTGAGAATGCTGCTAAAAAGGACGACTTGTTTTTTTTGTTTTTAAATTTCCTTTTTTTATTATTTATAAAGATATCAGTACGACAATAGTTCATCATATAAAAATGGGGTGTATCTGTGGGGTCTTATTTTGTTGAGTGTGTGTGTGTGTGAGTGATGTAAAAAAATAACAGTGTCAATCGAGTACAAGGCCTTTTCATTCATTATACACTTAAAAATAATTTTTGTTTTTTGTTTATCTTTTTTTCCAAACTGTATACTCTTTAATTTTTTTTTGGTAGAAGGTGTTGGTGGAGGGAAGGGGGCTTGAAGTAGAAGTTTTTTTATTTTTTAGCGATTTGTATATTCTCAAAATAACCGATCTTGTCCAAATTCTTTTTGTGGTTTTGCCTAAATTTTAATTGTGTAGGATTTTCTTTTTTCATCATAGTTGTGTTTGGATTTTTGTTTTGTTTTTTTTTCTCTTTCAGATAGAATGTCTCATTTTTTTAATTTTTTTGTTTTTAAAAAAATTGCTTTATAAACTTAATAACTAAACAAAAAAATAAAAATCAATAATTATTTAACCATCTAATGGTGGCCCCAGGTAAACCATAGAGACCTCCGTATTGCCATAAACCGCTGATACCGTGGGGTATAATTTTTTACCCGGTAGTCCTGGGAGAAGAAAAAAAAACAATAATTTATATTAAATAAAAAAATAAAGGTTAACTCACCTCTAAATGCAACTCCTAAAAATTCATAATTTTTTTCAAACGATAATGTATTTTCATCGCAGTCTAATATTACACGTATTCGTTCACCCACCTGGAAAAAAATGAAAAAAAATAAATAAAAGATATAATAGCAAATATATATAAAATAAAAAGGGAAAGAGACAATTTTTTTCTAAAGAAAAAACTTTTTCATAGAAATTTTTTTTTATAAAAAAATTCGTAAGACCCTAGGGTCTCATTAATTATTTTTTTCGATAGAAAAAAAAAAATTCATGATTCCCCAAGGGTCTCATTTATTTTTTTCTATAGGAAAAAATTCGTGAGACCATAGGGTCTCATTGACTTTTTTTAAATGAAAAAAATCAATGAGACCCTAGGTTCATAGGTCTCATTGTTTTTTTTTCTATAGAGCCTAAAAATAAAATTCTTCGTTTATTACTCACCTGATATTTGGGTGCATTATTTAATAATGGATAACTGCCTTGTACATCGCCATTATGTAACAAATGATTTTCAACTAAATTCCAACCCCAACTTTGATCATCCGATCCCAATAAGGCCACATAACCATGGCATTGTAGTGCCGCCTCTTTTGTTGATATACCGACAACAGCTACCGTACCCAATGGTCCCTCCCATATCACTTCCCAGGTGTGACGTCCTTGACGAAAACCCTGTTTACCTCGCGCTGCATCGGTACTTTGAGCAACGGGATTTCTGGAAAAAAAGGAGAGGACAGAAAAAAAAATAAAGAATAGGAATAATATAATATGAAAAAGCTAAGAAAATTCTTGGATCTAAATAAAATTAGGAAATCACAAACCGATAACATTAAAGGCTGATTTCTGGGATCTTTCTATACGAGGTGGTCAGATATATGGAGAGGAACATTTTGGCAGCCTTACTCGACATAGAGGAGTTTTTAACTTTTTCCCCCTAACTGTTTGGAATGTAGTGGCATTGGATCTACATTTCGAAGCTAAATTCATTGGAATAGATCTTCATTTCTGTTCGTGTAAATACACCCCATACTGACCTATGCATACCTGGTTTCTCATTCTATAACTGACACAGTCAGAAGCACTTCTTAAACTGATCTAAACACGATACAAAATCTCCAGCAATTGAACCATCTACATTGGTTTAAGGCGATTCGAATTCCAATTGCGATTTGACCGCCATTGGGGCAGAACGCTTAGCTTTCGCCAATTTAGTTGGTAACTTTAAATGTCCAACATATGGTTCACTCCCACAACCCTGATTCTGGTGGGTAATCGCCTTTCTAGAAACTTGTTTAACCGTTAAAAAAAGAAGTGACATTAGAATTCTATGTGGAAGCCAGATATCCCGATATAATCCTCGAGCTTCGTTTGATTATCAACATTACTTCTCAAGCAGCTCTATACGTGATTCTAAATATAATATAATTAGTTTTAATTGGTCTTCGAAAGCCTTCAAGCTTCACGTTTGCCATTTTATCAAGACAACTGAACAGATGCAGTGCATTGTACGGTCCTAGTTTACATAATGGGCATGTATCTGGTATCGTGCTGTCATTTCGAAGCGAATACTAATTGAGGCGCCTCAGAAGCAGCCACCTCGGCAAATATATATGTGTAAAAACAATAGAGCTGCTACAACAACAACTACATATATTTATTTAAACTCTTACATGTACACAAAGCCTTATTTGGCCAATTATTATGAATACATTATGCAAAATCGTTGATATATGGCACTACTCTAAAAACATGGACATTGAGAAATGTCCAAAAAAAAAAACTTAGAAAAAAAAATTAAAGTAACTTAATAAGATACAAAAAAAAAAAAAAAAATAAATAATAAATGAGATCAAAAACTTCAAATATCTTATGTTTTAAAACTGATATGAAAAAAACAAATAACCGCTTTGCGCTCAAAAATTATAGTGCATATAATGGACTATCGATGATTCTAAAAAGAAACTAATCGAAATGTCTAAGAAGACGTTTAGAGTATGTAGCCGGGGTAATGCTAAAATCTTTCAACTCATTAGGCAAATAATTGAATAAGCGTGCTATGCGAACTGGATATGAATTATTCATGAAATGGTGAATAATAGGAATTTGAAGTTGTTGTCGCCGAGTTGAAGAACAGAAAACAAAATCCTTCACCAAAAAAAGAGAACACTGGTTCTGAATAGTTTTAAAAAAACTAAGTAGCAGGCGAGTTTTAACAAATGAATCAAATGACCAAGAAGAAGCCTTTGGCACAACCAAGACCGGACCTGGTTTCATACGTCGTGGAACCGAAAATGGATCGAGGTATGTCCATAAAAAAAACTAAGGTGGGTAGATGCCTCGACACCTGTTACTGTACCCGTTACATGTAAATCTACTTTTACCCCAAAAATCGATGGCGACCCGGCAATTCCGATGGAACATGATTTGCCAAGGACTGGTGAAACCCTGTCTATGGCATACAGGACCAAAGTTATGGGAAGGACCAGCATGAGATCCTTAGAACTATTCACGATAGTCTAGAGAGGCGTGGTGGTGTTCGCTACTCTACGACCAGTTGGATAGACTTGCCCCAGATGAGTAAATTGGCGACATACTCCGGGTGGTATTGCTCCGCAATCTGACCCTAACTGATTATGAGCTGGTCACCACGGTGATACTGGTCAAGTCTACTCAAGAAGATTGTCATGGCTCTAACGATGTCAGTATGGACCTTGATGACCAACCGACCGAAGGTAGGTCTGAATCCGACTGGACCTGTGTTGGCACATGCCGACAATAAGCTTCAAAGGTAGACTGCAACTGAATCGATATCCAAAAAACGGGAAATCTGACGAGATCCCGACAATATTCAACGTTTAAAAGGTTGGACCTGCCCAAGAAAAATCGAATTCGAAGCGCTATAAACGTATTGTTCGCAGGCGAGATGCGAACATGCATTCAGAGAGGGAGGTGCACGTTCAAAGGACTTACCCATACGCTTTTTAAAGTTATTACCGGGAACGAACAAAGTAGGTGAGCCGGCGAAGCCCACTGCCTTTGACTAACCCGAGCTAAAAAGTACTAGAAAAGGCCATTGCCCTATTATGCGCCAAAAATGAAAAGTAAGGCGAATGGAGGTAAGGAATCTAGTCTGGACACGAAGATGACCAAATTAGCTAAGAAACCATCGTCTTCTGGATTACGAATATTGCTCGACAGCATAAATCTCTGAAGCGCATTCAATCCTCCGAAGGACCTCCCCGTATGCGGCCACCGTTGAACGTAAAACCAAGGAGAAACAACGGAATATAGGAAAGTTATCGTTTCCACGACAGAGGAGTCTACGATGCGAAACAATCCGAGTTTTACTCGGCCTCTGGCAAAATTTAAACCTAAGGTTCAAAAACCCATGCGAAAGACCGGTTACAGGCGAGCGATGAATACCTTGAAATGCCAATCATGGACAGAGTTGACTCTTATGGTAGAATTAGCTATAGTCACTGGTTGCTTTTTGAAACCGGTCTTCGGCCAGCCTTCGTCTATGGAATAAAGGTTTTGTTATTCGCTTTATATAAGAGTTGGCCATCTTCGGGGAGGTGCAAAAAGAGGTTGTCCTATAGAGCTCATCAAGATTTAATCTAGATTTTGAAAAATGTTACGATTTGCAAAGTTTGGATCAAAGCAGACATTCCGTTATCTTGATATTGGATTAACAAATTTGACACTTTGTGGTGAAGGTACCAGTAGGAGTTGAAAACGGGTCACATATTTGAGCTTGATCTATGTAAAGTAAAATGTTGACCCTTTGTGGGGGAGCTATTAGAAGAAGTGGGCCGATAAGACCCATATTTTATCATTATACAGTGATGGTTATAATATTAGGTTGTGCAAAGTTTAGTTCAAATCGGATAGTCCGTTCACATGAAATTGCATTATTTCCAACAAAATTTTTTACAAATTTGTGTGGGAGGTACCAGAAGAAGTGGACCGATATGTTCTATCGTCCAACATGAATTATGTTTGAAAGAAATATTACAATGTGCATATTTGACATCAAATAGGACATTTTATACCATTGTTATTGGATTAACAAATGTTCAAATAATTTACCCATGCGTCCCATCTTTGGATTCAATATAGATAAGGTAAAAATATTACGATGTGCAAAGTTTGGATGAATTTGAATATTTCGTTCGCTCCATATGAGATTTATTAATTTTCAAAACACTTTGTGTTGGAGGTACTAGAAGGAGTGGACCAATAGGTCTCATCTTCGGACATGATCTAGGCTTGACAAACGTAATATGTTGTCCAAAATTTGGTTACAATTTGTTCGTATGATATTATAATATAATTTTCAGCAAAATGTTGACCATTTTGTGGAGGAGGTACCAGAAGGAGTGGACCGATATTCTTCATATTCGTACATGAACTAAATTTGGAAGAATTATTACAATGTGAAAAGTTTGGAGAGTTATCGACTATCTTAAATCGACCTCAAATTACCTGAAACGGATTTGGTTCAAAGACACAGTGTATATACCCTCATTAGCCATAAGGCTGAGGTTATAATAAAAATTGCGGTATTGTATATTAACCAGCCGCCTATTTTCGATGATGACATAACACTGAGAATAAATGAGATATGTGGCTAAGTACTATTGGGCAGATTAATTATATATGACAACCACATATGAGCACATGCCATATAAAAATACGCTTTAAGGGGGTTTACATTTTCAATACGTATTTGCCTAAGCTCATTTCAAAATTTGACATGAAAACCCAGAGCTTGAATGTTATTTAATTCATGGAACGTCTTCAGCTGGACTGTATTGACTAAATTTGTGTGGTAGTTGTGAATTTCTAAAAAAACTAACATCAACTCTGTTTCATTGCTCATATATTTCAACGTCTATACTTAACGCCCCTTAAATTTCTAATCTTGTGATAACTTTCATTTCTAAAAAATATAAAACTAACAAATTAATAATTTTATATATTTCATTAAAAAACACACAATTTCCCACTGACCTGTGTAACGTAAAACCATTCGGTTTAATATATACATTTCGCGAACAATCATTTGGATTCCAGGCATGATAATAGGCTCGCAATTTCATTTTATATGTGGGCACCGATGACATTAAATCGGATTTCAAGGCTTCTTCGGGTAACTTTCGAATGCAATGCGAGCGCCAAACATCACTGTTTTCATCGTCCAGAAAATGTTTCCAACTGCGACAGACCAGTGCACAATTCCTTAGATCACTTAAATCCAAATAGGAGAATATCACTTCGAGGACATTGTGATTGATCATGGACGATATAAGGTCGACCATGATGATGTCGGTTGTAGACAACAATGCAGCAAAGTAGTAGAAGAAGAGGCGGCAGCAATAACAATATAGTAAAATGGGAGGGTGGTCGGACCCGGTCACTCAATCAGGCAGCAGCAACAACAAAACTCCTTCTTCTTCTTTGCATGCAAAGAACAATCAACACTTGAACACGAATTCTCCTCTTTGTTGTTGTTGTTTTTGGTGTATGGTTTGTTTGCAGGGCCGTTGACGTCGATGTTGGTGGGTCTTACAACATACAACAGCGGCAGCAGATACCAGATATGATGATGATGACAATAGAGACGCTTTTGGAAGAGCCTAGCCACAGCAGCGGCAGTAGTAGCAACGTTTTTCTGTTTTTTTCTTCTCGTCTTATTGTTACTGACGACGTCTACCAAAACTTCGTTTCGTCGTCTACCCCTTTCCACTCCTTTTCTACTTTGTATTTATCCACACACAACACAACACTAGGCAGGCAGACCGACAGACAGAAAGACTTCACACACCATAAAAAAAAGATTTAATTTTTTGGAGTCAAACAATTGCAACAGTTCCGCAGTCTCTCGTTCCTTAAATATTCGACGTTTGTATAGTTCACGTTTGGTAAATAGTAAAAATTACATTCAATTGCTGTGCAGTTGCTGTTGTTTTCTTGTTTTTAAAAATAATTATACATTTTTACTATAAAATAAATGTTTATTGTTAAGAGCAATCTGTCACAGAGAATGGACTAGCGGTGACAAGTTGTCGATAGGTTTTCTCCTCTTTTCCGGATAATATCGATTTGTGTGGTATGGTGTTATCGATAATATCGGTATAGTTGATTATGAAAATGACATGAAGTGTGTTCCCGAAGCAGAAAATATCATTGTAACTTTTAAAAATAATTTGATTTTTTAAGAATTGGATAGAAAAAGAATAAATTGGAAAAGAAGAAATTATTAAAAAAAAATACAACGGTTGGTAGCCTACTGCCAACGACATTGCATTATGTTGGATTGTTGAAATTCACTTTGAAATGATAACATATAGTTTGTGTTCCCGTACACAAAAAAACGGGCAATGGGTTTATAAAACAGACATTTTGCTTGCTTTTGAATCTGAAAGAATTAAAAAAAATACCAAAATAACAATTTTTCTTTTACGATATGGAAAAAATATGAAAATTAATAGATCCTCGCGTTACGCGAAAATATATAAATACCCATAGGGTCGAAATCAAGAGAGCGGGGGTGTAATAGAAGTTAGAGTGTATAATTTTAGTCAATTTAGCCATGTCAAAATTTGAACAAAGATAAGGATATGTTTGGCTTCTGTTTCGGAGAGGAATGCTTTCACATTTTCCAGTCGATGCCTTCTGCTACTTAGCGATGGATATCTGCAGAGTCAATGTCCAATTGTTTCCAGCTCTTTCTCGTCCTCACATAAACGACAATAATAATCTTCATTAATATCCCATTTGAAAGTGAGTGATCTGGTCCTGCAGTGACCTGTTATGCTCCCTACAGAGGTTCTTATATCTATATTTTTATTATACAGTAGTGATGTAGTTCTGCGGGAGAACTCAGGCCAGATAGTTTTTGAAATCCCGCCTTCCTTGCAGCAGCACTTCTTGATTTTGCCAATGATATATCGTCCTATTGACTATTTCAGTGGCTTAATCCGTTGTACATATCCCTCAATCGGTTGACTGTCAGCTATTTCATTCCCATCTATGTCACTATGACCTGGAACCCAACAAAAATTAACGTTCTGTCGTATATCATGTAGAACGCCTTTACAGGCAATTCAATAGCATTGATAGTCACGACTTAAGGGCCGCCTGACTATCAACATAGAAATTCACTACATTGTCGTCAGTAAGTCTGTTGTCTATTTCAGGCTCTTTCGTAATTGGATAGGATTTCTGTCTGAATAACGCTACAGAGATTGTTAAGTTTATATGAATTATTTATAGCTTATTCCATGGCACAATAAATAAGTAGTCCATTTAGCGAAACTGATGACATGATTAACTGTCAAAGTGCGTAATTTTTACTAGAACTCGATATGCATGTGAAATATTAGTGGTCTGTTCCCGTACTGCGAGAATTTACTACTTTTTACTACGATAACAAATTTTTTCATTATGATATCGAAGAAAATAGTCAAATCGAGTAGATTCTTGCAGTACGGGAACATATCATATATTTTTTGAAAATGTAATATTTTCGAATCCTCAAAATAAAATTTGAAAAACATGAATGAAAATCTATCAAATTTATATTTCTATCGTTTCCACATCTTTCCTACAATTGAGCCATTGCCACTTATATGTGTAACACATATGAAAATGCTGGGAACTGCGAGTTATTCCATGAAGAAAGATTTGCTTTCTCAAACTTTCCCAGCAGGCAGATTGAGTAATTTGAATACGGGAGGACATTTAATAAAGAATCCGTTACCAATATTCCTGTTGGGTGATTTTGAAAAACATAATTTCTCATATTCATATTGACACTGGCATTACGTTGGAATCAAATCAGCTGGGTTTTGCTGTTACCTTTTATAATTGTACCATGATTGATACCCATATTGCCTCAGTAAGTTTTAAAAATCGTAAGAAAATACGAGGGAAATACCGATTTCCGCAAGAAAAAAAAAGACCGTAGTAATTAAGACCTCAAGGACTACATGTGTTAAAAATTTCAAAACGATCCGGGAGTGGGCCCTAAACTAGATTTAACCCAATGCTACTAATCTTTTTACCCTTCCGGACCCAGAATGTCATAGCAGCAGAGGAGAAGCAGCTGCGTGGCCGGGGGCTAGTTTTTACACTCCATTTTGTGTGCTTCGATAGTAGCACATGTTTAAACTTTTTCGGCCCTACGGTGAGAAGCTTTAGTAAGATGAATAGAAGGTCTTTCTATAGACGAGAGGGAGGTTTTCATGTAAAAAGCTGGTGGTCTTTCTATAGAAGAGCTGCAGGTGTTTATGTAGAACATCTGCAGATCTTTCTATAGATGAGCTGGTTATCTTCATGTAGGCGAGCTGGAGGTCTTTCTGTAGACATGATGGAGGTTTACCTATGGAAGAGCTTGAGGACTTATATACAGTAGCTGCAGATCTTTCCCCAATCGAGCTAGATGTCTTGTTATAGACGAGCTGGGTGTCATTCTGTAGAAGAGCTGGAGATCTTCCTATAGACGAACTGGAGGTTTTTTCTATAGATCAACTGGATATCTTTCTGTTCTTAGAAGTACTAGAAGTCTTCCTATAGTCTTCGGCCGTGGATTTAAAACTTTATCTTATGAACAGATTCCAAAAACGGATAAGCGACAGAATATCATTTTAAACAAAATGTAACCGAACTTTTACAATCCATTTCTCGGAAAGCTGTTGTTTGTAGGTAATTATGACCACGACAGCTTTATACAATTCCCGTAAATATACTTTTTCCTTTGTGATATTGTCAAATCTAGTAATTATGGTAATTATGAAACGTATAGAAAAATACATTGATGTCAAGGTTTGGTTTGAAAGCTAAAATATTAGGAACCATGAATCTTTGACAGAAAAAAATATGGTTGTAATCAAGGCCTCTAGCTCTACTTATAATGAATTATAAATCGATGGACGGACCCTTAAACATTTGTTTTTCCCAAGGAACTTGCGAAGTTTCCCTTTTAAAATTCGTGAGGGAAGGACCGAATTGTGTGTTCTGCTACCCCTCTTAAAATTTATTTTTGTATATTAGCTGAATTTTATAATAAGTAATGATCTTTATATAGGTTCCCAATTTCCAGTACTGCATCCATAATTCAACTACTATGTGCCGAAATAGCTCAGTTGGGAGAGCGTTAGACTGAAGATCTAAAGGTCCCCGGTTCAATCCCGGGTTTCGGCAGAACAATTATTTTGCTCTTTCATGTACTTTACCCCCACAGCAAGAGATGTGAAAGTGAACCAACTATTGTGAATGACTACATTATACGTAAGAACAATATTCCATTGCCTACTTTCAGGCGTTAGGTACTTTTATTTTTTAAATACCACACTGGGGTGTTTATATGTTTGTAATGGCAATATGGACAGGAGCAGACATGCGCCGAAATAGCTCAGTTGGGAGAGCGTTAGACTGAAGATCTAAAGGTCCCCGGTTCAATCCCGGGTTTCGGCAGACATTATTTTTTTTTTAATTTTTTATAAATATTTGTTTTTTTTTATTCATTTTAAATAATTGCTGTGTTCGCAAGATGTATGATTTTGAAAATAAAGAAAATTAAAAAAAATATGGATTTGAAAATTTTATCACGTACCGCAGCTACCCATATCGAAGCCAATATCAATCTGGTGACAAAGGGCATTCAGAAGAAAATACCAAAGAGTAGCCATTATCGACAAAAGTGATGTCTATGGGCATATCCGTGACCATATAGTAATCATTTCCATTAAAAACCATTTCCACAAAGCTCTGTCACCGCGACAAAAGGCAATCTTATTGTCACCATTATCCCACCAATCATTAAGTCCTGCATCACGTGTCAAAAATTTTTAATCCTTTCATATTATCGATCTGACGTCATACTATGTTTACAAATCCAACCGTTGGAATACTCTCCGTTGCCGTATCAAACTGGGAAGGAATTAATTTACGCTCCTTCATCTTGATAGAGTGAGAATAGAGTGAGAAGAAGAGGAAATTGGAATAGAATAAAAGAAGCATAAATATGAAGAGAAAGAAAGAGGAATTAATAGAAAGAGAAGGCCTATGGGGGCCTATCCATATCCTGCAGGGATAATACAATCTTTATAGGATCTCAAGAAGATCCCCAGAGGATATTCTATCCTAAGAAGATCTCCAGTAGGTATTTTATTTGAAACTAATGCTCAGCTCTGTCTCAGACGCGAACTTCGCTTTTAGCTACCAAAAGCTCACACTCTACGCATAGGATCTTTCAACCTTATGAAGATTAATATAGCCTCCGACCCAGCTGACACTACAGCTGGGTATCTTAATCACATCAAAGCCACACCCTCTATTCGCCAAGG